ACTGCGGATGCCTTGATGCACCTAAGATAGGTACCTCTGTTGTGGGTTAGGGCTGGCTCCCTGAGCCATGGACACCATGCACCCAGCGGTCAGAAGGCCTCGCCTTCCCGCACTGGTCTCTCCTTGGCACCCTGCCTAGGGTAGAGAGGCAGAGCCCTGCCCTCGGGGTTAGTTCTCCTTGGCTGCCTGCAGGGACATTGGCCTGAGATTAGAATACATCACTTCCAGCCTTGATACACAGTGGGATCTTGTTTAGAGACTAATGGGAAACACACCCTCCTCAGACTGGGGCTTGCTGGTCAGTCTCTGCTGGGGAGTTTGAAGTAGGACATCAACAATTTAGGGTGGGGATTCGCAGCAACACCTGGCAGCCACAGTGCAACTGCACAAAGGCCGGCAAGCCACGTTCTTCCCAGAGAGACTCAGCAGTGAGGGGGAGGAAGTGAGCCAGTGGTGGCTCCAAGGCATGGTATGGAGGTACAAACTACGCCCACAATCTCATTCTTTTGCCAGTTGTGTTGGGGGTATTCAAATTATGACCCGCTGAATGAGTGGGCACAAGCCAGCCATAGAGGGTGGGCAGGTAGCTCTCTCGCCATCTGAACTGTCACTTTGGGGAAGTGAAAACGTGGGTCGTTTTGATCGAGGTGCAGTATCAGTACACTCACTTGAAGGAAGTAGAGTCACAAGATTTATTATAGATTTCAGAAATGGGTGGGTGGGATGGGTAGGCACAATGAACCGGGGGAAGGGCGGTCTTTCTTCCAGGGTCACTTGTCAGCAGGAGGTAGAGAGCAGGACAGCATGCACCTATTAGTGCCCAGGGAGAAGTAAAGTGGGAACCTGGTGGGAACCTAGGCTCAGGTCCTGATCTAAGCCTGGAGACCGTGGGTGTGAGCAGGGTGTCCACTGTAATGTGCCTGGGCAGCACTTGGAACAGTTGTTTTCTCCTCAGTCTAACCCATGTTAAATACTTTCAGGAGCTGCTTGGTTGTGGCTACGACCAGAGGACAGGAATGCGGAAGTCCTCCTCTCCCGTGATTAACAGTGAAGATTCCCCATAAAGGCAAAGATACAGACACGATGTGATTTTACAGTTGTTAAGTCTTTTCTATGTGTAATATGGGGTCATGAGTTTCAACATGGGTATCTGGGACTCGAGACCTCCCACTGATTTGAGCCACTGATATTTGTGTTGTCCTTTTGTGTTTAACGTCACTTGAGAGGATTTTAATATACATTTAAGTAGTTTAAATGTATGTTTTAATGTAATAGGCATTTTTTTTGTGCTGCTATTCAGACTGATGCCATATATATCCCATTCAACATGTAGTTCTTCCCAATGAGAGTAATTTACGTTCATCTACACAGTTCTAACCCATTCTGAGTTTATTTGCTGAGTAGGGTGATAACTACGTTCATCTACACAGTTCTAACCCATCCTGAGTTTATTTGCTGAGTAGGGTGATAACTATGATTTCTTGGTGGGAACCCCAAAAAGACTACGAGTGTTTAGAAAGTAATCATCCAAGGAATAATTGAGGTGAGCGGCAGACTGATTGCATCATTTTGAGTACTTCCCTAAGGTAGTGTGAAAGGAGATATGGGAAATGTTAATGACTTTTTATAGCAGGAGTAGCTGGAAACTTTTTGTTTCAAAGATCCACAAGTCCCCATAGCCCATTTCCTGTTCATGGGTACACTTGGACTTCCAGCACATGTTATAGAGGAGGAGCAAAGGAAAGTAACTGCACTGTTTTATTAAGGAGCAAAGAAAATGCAATCTCCTTCCTTCCTTCCTTCCTTCCTTCCTTCCTTCCTTCCTTCCTTCCTTCCTTCCTTCCTTCCTTTCTTTCTTTCTTTCTTTCTTTCTTTCTTTCTTTCTTTCTTTCTTTCTTTCTTTCTTTCTTTCTTTAGTGCTGACTGGGGACAAAAAAGGGATTCTAGAAAAGTTCTTTTTCTGTGTTATTTATTGTCCATTTGAGGTCCCATAATTATTAGAAATCAATTCTAAATGTCAGGCTGCCATTATTTGCATGGAGTTCTCATAGCACTGTGGAAGCAAGTAGAAGCAGAGTTTAATAACAACAATTATTCCTAAATTTCAAAGCAGTTCGCCAATTCCAGAGTATAGACTAGATCTAAACCATGAGGCTATACCTGAGGGTAGCCAACTACACAGGCCAAGAGGCCAAGAGCTTCTAGAGGCCCCTGTTGCAATCAGTAGGCTTGTTCTCTGATTTTGTGTAATTGTGTTTCAGTTAATCTTGACAAATTTATCCGAGGACAACAGATGTTGTTAGCCATGGCGCAAATATCACCCTTCTGTGCTGTGCTAATTTATTGTCAAGAGCAAATCTGTTATCTAAAACAACTCAAGCAAATGAATTTAAAGATTTTCCTTGAGCAGCTATTATTTTGGCAGTAGATTCAGCAATCCTTCCTAAAGTTCTAGACAAATGTCTGACCATATAGTTATTTTCGCCAACACCCTCCCATGGAAATAAAATGCCTCCAAATCTCATTCTTTCATCATTGGAAACACCACCAGGCAATTCTTGTCGTAATCTGTGATGTAAATTTAACAGTGATGTCCAATGCTGAATCTCTGATTGAAAGTGTAAAGAAATAGGCGTAACCATTATCTGACTGCAGTGCCTTCCAAGTTGATAAGGATTTAAGCAATGTGTCCCCAATAGACTTTTCCACCAAGTGCAAGTAAAAATAAATCCTAATGGGGCACAGATCATGGAATTATGACAACGAGATTGATTGACCCATGGATCTGAAGGATGTGGGCAGTTAAGAAGGTCGTCTGTGGGTAGAGTAAAATTATGTTGGTATAAGAAGTACACGTTGCAGAGGAACAACTGTTGAAACCTGAGATGCTTGACAGGCTTCCTGTTCCATATTACACATGTTACCTACTAGGTCTCTGGAGGTTTGATGGATTGGGCAAGGAGTCCTAGGGGGGTCTCACCAATATGAAGATTCAAAAGTGCAGTTAGTACATGGGAGGAAAGGCAGAGAAATTGGTAATTCAGTGTTCTAATTTAAAGGATCTTCAGGTTCCTGTACAGAGAGGTTTCTAATGGCAAATCCAATAGTTTGTTAAAATTCCTCTGTTGTAAGGGATTGGGATATGTCTAGTAGGCAGCTACCCTTCAGCAGAAACTAAGAAGAAAAAGGAAACGGTAACTATTTGACATCCCATATTAATACCTTTTATATTCCTCAATTTGTGTGACAGAAAGGGATTGATCAAAATACATGCAAAAAAGCAAAGAAATCCAATAACTAGCACTGTAGTTGCAATGTATTCTGCAAAGGAAGGATTCTTGGGATACATTCCAAAACTACTAATTAATAAGGTGAACATATTTCAGTAGGGCAGTAAGGAGAAGTAATATTTCAAAAAAGTAGGCGTCTAAATTTCAATACCAACACACAAAGCAAAAGAATTTTGTAATTCAGACTCTTGGGCACGTAAGTGTTTCCAGGTTAACACACATTCACCTCTTCACCTCACATTATCATGTGTGTGTGCGTGTCCGTGTTTGTGTTGAGATTGCTTAAGACCCACTCTGTTAGCAAATTTCAATTATACAATGCAGTATATGTATATCAAATTATAACATTGCACATTTTAATATTTAAATACAATTTTATTAGTTAATTTTATCTCAATAAAGCTGGAGGAAGAGAGTTTCCAGGTGTATCCCAAATTACAAAACAGTTATTTTCAGTGAAAATAGGAATTCAAGTACCTCAGGGATATATCATAGTCATTTACATTTCGAAGTTCTCTAGGGAGACAGGCAAGAACTGACCTAAATTAAATTTCCTTCCAGGGTAAAATGTACACTTGAGAATGTAATGAACACATCTCATCCCCTGGGATTAGACTGAGAAGAGTCCCTGTGCCCAGGCTGGGGCTGCGGGTTCCACCTTCCTACCAGAGCCAAGTGCTCTGGGCTTCTATTTCTCAAGGAGCAAATGAGAGGGGGTGGATCAGGAATGGATGGAAGGCTTAATGTTTTCAAAGATCAAGGATTAAAATGGAGCCAGACTCTATCACAGATGGTGAAGTCACATCAAGTGTCTATGTTTTAAAACAAGTGTCACAGGTCCTCATGTTACCTCGCAGCCTTCCACCAAGCCCTTGACACCTAGGGGATATAGGACCCCCCTTTGGTCGACCAAGTGTAGATCAATCAGGAGCTTTGGCTAGAAATAAATGATAAAGATTTATTCAAGGGTCTTATAGTTTGCAAACTGGAAATACAGCAGGCAAAATTCCAGAAGTGTTCTAAAGAAGAAATGAAAGTTGAGTTCTTAAAGTCACGACCTGGAGAAAAATCAGTCCTGCATTCTCGCCCCTAGGAATGGGCCAGGACAGTTATCAGTCAGCTGTCAGGCGGTCTGGATGATGGAAACCAGGTGGGCTGGAGGATGGGCGCCAGGAGGTCTGCTGATGTCTGGAGTGCTTTGGAGTCTAGGTATTGACACAGGACTGGAAAGTTCAAAAGTTTAAGTTCTCAGGCTAGTTAATACAAGATAAAGAATAATTCTTTCGTGCCTCAACCTTCTTAATGTTAATAATTTAGCAGTTTGGTTAAAGTGATTCTAATTTATATTTTTCCTATCTTTGCTCTTTTCCTCAGTTTTTATCAGTCCTGGCCTGGGCCACCCTTTTGTCTCCACTTGCTGCATCTGGAAATTGATTCAGGAATTCCCTGTGCCCCCCCATACGCTCGCCTTCACAAAGAGCTGAGGGAAAACAACACAGGGAGCCTCAGGCCAGGGAAAACTTCTGTTTAAAATCAAATGTGCCAGGCTGGGTGAGGTTCCCGCCCACCAGTACAGGCTGATACTGCTGTTCCACTCGTCTTCCCGCTAGCTGTCAGTCAGGCACTTAAGGGCGTGGCCTTGCGACTCGCCCAATGAGGGGCGCAGCTGGGGAAGTGGGGTGTGTCACAGCACTGGGAGGGCGTGGAAGTTTCTCCCTGCTCCAGGCCTGATTGGGATCTTGTGTCGCCAGCCCTTCACTGCGCTTGGTGGCTCTGCTGCAGCCTCTGTCCCTTTGTAGTCTACACTGGTCGTGGCAGTCCTAGGAAGGAGTCAGGGAGACCCAGAAAATACAGAAATGGTAAGTTTGTGGAACCGGGTGCGGAGACAGGGACCAGGGGTGGTTGGAATCGCGGCGGCGGTCCTGGCTTCCCAGCCATCAACTCTGGTTTCTGTCAACCTCGGTCCCCTGCCACACGCAGCGTGGGGGCTGGGCCAGCAGCCGGACCCGGGCGTCCTGTACCGTCACTGAGCGCGGTGGCTTCTGCCCAGAGCCTCTCTGGGCAGCTCTGCGCCCGCAGCTCCGCGTCTCCCCTGATGGTGCGGTGACCACCGGGAGGGTCATGGGGCACAGCCTTTACTCAGTAACCGGGGGTTCGTGCATTGAAGGAACTGTGTGGACTTTACGGTCCCCAGCTGTTCCTTTCTCTCCAAGGTGACCCATTTTCTCCTGAGTTTTCCAAATGTTTGGGTAGCGGAGTCTCAGATCCACTACGCTGTCCCCCAACCTAGCTCTTCTTGGGACTGTCAGTAAGTCCCCAAATTTCTGGATCCTCCTTGCATTCCCAAGCTAACTTTTTCTTTCCTAGTCACAGCATCATCATCAACTATTTGTCCTGTGGGATGCATTTCAAACATTCCCAATATTTTAATATTTTACTATCTTTCCACAGGGTTATGATGGCTCTTTTTTAGAGATTTATATTTGTTGTGGATATTTTATATGAGATGGAAGCCAAGAATAACCACCTGAAACTTCGTTGCTTGAAATCTTTGTGCTTCTCTCCCCGAACCCCCTTCCCCCGCCCCACCCCTCCCGCCCAGGCCGTTCCCAGGGCATAGACGTTCAATGGGAAGTCCTTTGGGTAAAGGCTCCTGTTTGGGTTTTCCTAGATTTTGTGTCCTGTCAGCACTGCCCCTCACTGGATGTCACCTTGATTTAAGTTTACATATTCAACAGGGGTAAAATATGTTGAATCATTAGAGTTTGCTAGACAGTATAAAATAGCTCCAAAGAGCCAGGAAAGAGGTGAATTTAAGAAAAAATAAAATATTCCAGTATTACATTCCATTTGTATAGAATTCATCTTTCACTCTTTCTTCCCCTGAGCATGTGTAGTAAGTTTCTGAGGTATGTTTTTCACTGTAGGGTGTTTTCAAGTAAAATTCCAGGGCTTAGCCTTGCAGAGCAAAAGTGTTCAAGTCTCAC